ATCAGAAGATGCATTACTTACTCTACATGATAGATTGACGTCACTGTTATGTTCATGACCAAAGTCTAGTCACAATAAACTTTTAACATTCTTTTCATCTCATCTTACCAACATTTATTGTTTTTTTTGTTTTTGATTGTTTCACATTACTGATACTCGTAGAGAATTTAGTGTATTAACAGTCTTAAATGAAATAAGAAAATATAAATGGATTTATTTATCACCGAATAAAAATATTTCATAATTTTATGTTTTTTTTTGTTTGTGAATGGAATGAATCCGTATACTTTTGAATAATACTTATATGAGTAATCGCTTTCTAACTGATTACACGAATACAATCAATTTAATTTTCGTGACTAATGTTCATGGTTATTATCTTAGTCTGAAAAAAAAAATAATGGATCATGTCTATTTCTAATGTAAAAACTCTATTGTTTAAATAATCAATTAGAAAAAACACTTGTATTCTTTTTAAGTATTAGAAATAAATGTTAACATGACTAGGTTTATCCTTATGTTTTTTTCTTTAATAGGTATGGTTTTATGAAAGAAATTATACATAAATATAAATCTCATGCAACACGACTATTACGATTATTTGAAAATATTTATAGTTGGTTACCAGTTGCAAGTCTTATTGATGATCATATTTTTGTAACACATGGTGGTATTAGTAATATAACTGATTTAGCTATTATTAATCAAATAAAACGTCAGAAGGTTCTTTTTTTTTTGTTAACATAATAAAAAAAAAACTGAAGTTCATTTCTTTTTTTTTTTTCTATTCAGTATGTATCTGTATTGAGTCCAAGTTTTATTATATCACCAAATGAAGATCAATTTCAAATAAGTAATATATCAAATGATTTATTACTTGAATGGCGACAAATTCTTGATTTATTATGGAGTGATCCAAAACAGACTGATGGTTGTGAACCAAATACTTATCGTGGTGGTGGATGTTATTGGGGACCTGATATAACAAAAACTATTTTAGAAAAACATAAATGGAGTTTACTTATTCGTTCACATGAATGTAAAGAAGATGGTTTTGATTATACTCATGATAAAAAGGTTTTCTAGTTTTTTAATTATTTTTTCTATTTTTAATATGAATATTAATTAGGTGCTTACTATTTTTTCGGCATCAAACTATTATGCAGTAGGTAGTAATCGAGGTGCATATGTAAAAGTAATTACTAATCAACCACCATTAATTGTTCAATTTATTTCAACAAAATCTTCACATAAATCATTGACTTTATGGGAAAGGTTAGTTATAAAATTAAGATAGATTATAATTATTATTATTTATTTTTTTTTTCGTAAAACATGATCTATAATAGAGATATGTAATTTCAGTAGACTGTTAACTGAGATTTATCATAATAAAATCCGTGAAAGCTACTAGATATATCCATACTGTATGAATATGTTAAGGCGTTAGTCTCAAAGTCAATCAAATAAAACAGTATTCTTGTGATTAGTAACATAGTATTTTACATTTTAATTCCGGAAGCATTGTACTAACAGACTTTTTTTTTTCTTATGTTTTTTTAGGGTGTCTTATATTGAAGAACAAGCCATTAAAAATCTTATTGAAAAATTTAGTGTAAATAAAAATCGATTGATGAGAGAATTTGCACTTGTGGATCGTAGAAAAACAGGTAAAAAAAAAAAAAACATTTGTTTTTTGTTTTGATTGATATTATTTATTCTATTGAACTTTTATGAGGATGTTTAGATAAATATTGCAAAAACAAAACTAGTTATTTTGAAAGCGTATTATTTCATCGATCATACTAATTTATAAAAGAAAAAAACATTAATTTCAGTCACGATCAAATTTTTTGAAAATACGTACTGTAATTATTTTTACAAAAGCTTGTGACATCCATCGAGATTAACCCTTAGGAGCCGAATGTCCCTTCCAAGGGACATTTAAATAATTGTAATCAAATTCTTATAAAAATGTTGTAGACAAAAACCAATATTTTTCTGGATTGATATGACTTTCGAGGCCATACCTAGACCAAAATGTAGTATTCAGGTGGCTGCCAGGCGTAGCAAAACACCTTTTTGGTCTCATGACTTTTTTCAATAACACCTTTCTTCCCTAAAGTTGTATCTATTCGGAGATGCGACATACAGTGTAGTTTATTTTACGTTACACTCTTAAGCTTATCACCAAGCTATTCAATATCAGTGTTCTAGAATCTTTTAACCGATCTACTGACAGATTGTGCCGTGATCAATAAAAAATTCCTTCGGTGAGATATTCAGTCTCATAGAAGAATCAAAACAATGTATTTCTAACATGAAACTTGGCTCATACATAGCCCTAGTAGTGTTTAGGAAGTTTCAAAATTTTCAGGAACAACTGTTGTTTCTTTCGCGAGATACAGAGTATTGAAGGTTTTAGCAATTTTTAGCAAAATTTAGCTGGTTTTTGGATTTCGAATATCTCAGCAAGAAAGCATCCGTTCTAAGTGAAAATTTCGGAGCATATTAAGTATTATCAAAACTATCTAAAGGCAAAGTTTCAGATCAAAATTCCTATTTTTTCGAATTTTTACAGGGATGGATATTCCTGCCAAAGGAGGTTGTGTAGGTCCAGAATAAGAAGAAGGTAATTATTTTTAACTGTAGTACGAGTATACTGAGGGTCCATAATCTCTGTTTTTCTAATTAGATTCTCATTTTTATAAGTGGAAGCCACTTCGGCTTTTAAGGGTTAAATTTATGTCACACTAATTTTATTAATCTCATGTTTAGACTATTAACAAGTCGAAGCTCATGTGGCTCACTAATTTCGATAATAAAAATAATGTGACATGAGAAAATTTACAGTAATTACTGTAAAATTACGAACAAACTTTAGTAGATACAAAAAATATCATATGTATTCTTGACAAATATTGATGAATTTTGCTATAGAGAACAATTTTCTACGTTTCTAAAATTGGTAATTTTAATGGTTCATTAGAAACTTCGGAAATAACTAGGAAATTTTATGAAATACAGAAACTATCAATATGTTTTCTTTTGACATGAATTCTTTGTATGTGTTTCGGTATTCTCATGTTTCTACAAAAAAGCTCAGTCAGTCAGTCATGATGATGAATTATTATCAATCAAAATAGTACGAATTACGATTCAATTTTGAATTCTAAATGGTTTATTATATAAATTAATAGTACTACAAGTCTAAAACAAAATCTACTCAATACTTTAGATATATTTCTACAAAGAAGTTTTGATTTTCTATTGTAAATGAAACACTATGAGGTTTTAAATTATATCCTGATGTTTTAATTTTCATATATATGAATTAGGTCGTATATCTGTCAATGAGTGGTGTGATATTGTTTCACGTGTTCTTGATTTACATTTACCATGGCGAACACTTAAATCTCGACTTGTTCAAACAGATACTGATGGATCAATTATATATGAATCAACATTTCGTTCCAAAGAATTACAATTTACATTAAATGTTCCAATAAGTGAAGTAAAAATTTCAAAAATTTTTTTTTTTTTTGTTTTCTAAAAATATCTTCTTTGATTAGAGACGAACAAGTCTTTGTCAAGCTATTTATCGAAATAAAGATTTACTTGAAACAGTCTTTCGAGCTATTGATAAAGATAACTCAGGTTAGTTTTATTTTCTATCAAAAATTTCTTTCTTATGTTATATATAGGTGTTATTTCAATGCAAGAATTTACTGACGTATGTACATCTCTTGGTCATCATGATGGAACGAAATTGGATGAAAAACAAATTATGGATTTAGCAGCTAGTATTGATCTCGATAAGAATGGTGTGATTGATTTCAATGAATTTCTTGAAGCCTTTCGTATCGTTGATATTGCTGATCATTCTGATGAGGAAAATTAATATTTTCATATGTTTTATTCTTTTTTTTGTTTTTTAAATAAAACAAAATATAGAATGGTTCGATTCTAGAACAAAGTGTCTGACAATTTGTTCTATTTCATATTAAATACACACAAAAAAAAAATATATTCTTCTTCTTTTATTTCTTATCAAAATAAAATGTCTAACTTGATATTGATTATTATAATTTTACTAAATATTTCTATTAAACAATATCAAATGGCTGTAGGAGAAAAAAAACGAACATTTACAAGTCGTTCTGAAGGTGCTCTATTAGGTCATTATTTATTTTTAACTGAAACAGCATATATATCAAATATACCAGGTTTTTTAATATTAACAACAATTAATGAACATGAATGTAAATGTATATGTTCAACAAATAAACAATGTCTTTCAATAACTTATCGTTTATCAGATTCAATTTGTACATTATATGCAAATGATCCATGTAATACACGAAATTGGCAAACAAATTCTGATATAAATTTTTATATTAATATTAAACGTTTAAAATATCGTTTATTTGAAAAACCTGAACAAAATCAACCATTAAAACGTTTATCAAATTCATTATTATGTGGAAATATGAATATATTTAATTCTGAACAACGATGGTTATTTGTTGTTAAAATAAGTGGACAATCAAAAGTTAATTTTAATGGTTTAAATTTTAATAATGCACCAAATCAAGTTGCACCTAGTCCATGGTATACAACACAATATGAAACTATTTGGAATAGTATTCTTATGCATCAATGGTAAAGTTACATAACGTATCTCGTATAGTCATGCTCTTGTTGATAAACATGTCTAGTCAATTTTCGTCTTGAAAAGAATCAAAAGCAATCGTCTAGAATTAGAAAATTTCATGCTCTTTCTAAATATATAATTGAATCATTAGATATTTATTCTCTTTTAAAGATATCCTTCTAGAAAGTTTATGAAATTCGGATTCTTACTAGTAACATTAATGGAAAGATAGAAACTAAGAACAGCAAGTATTGATGTTGAAATACAATGAGACATTGTTGTCACTTTAAGCTGATAATTTTCTCTATAAGTAAGCGTAGTCGAACTATGAAAAGTTTCCAAAGGGTTTGGGCTTTTCCTCAATTTTAATTTGTTTCATATCGTATTGCTAAGTAATACATACAAAAAGCATTTGTCATTACCTTCTTATGCAGAGAAAGTACTCGACCAATGCAAAACTTTGCACGTAACACCCATGAGGACAAAACTAGCTCGAAAGGACGCGAACGCCTGGGAATATTTTTTCATTAGACAAACAAATTCTAGAGAGTTTTCCATAATTATAATCGATAGCGTGATAATCTTGACACGAAATATTTGCTCATTTTTCGACTAGTAAAAAAAAACAGCTGGTTACAGTTACTGAACGTTTTATCAAAATATAAAATGGATCAAAACAATATTGTGTAAAACCGCTATTTTTAAATAATCGGATGATAATTATTAATACTTAGATTGATTCTAGAATGATAACATATAGTTATTTTTATTTTTGTTTAGGAATTCTCATCTCTATTTTCCAAAATATTTCGGTTTTGCTCTTATTTATAATGGTACTGTACGTGAATTTATTTATTTTCGTTTACATAAAACAACTATTGAAAATTTCTTTAATAAACAACATACACCCGTTGCATTTTGTTGGAATTTAAAACCAAATAAAGCTCATCTTCATCATACTCTTGATCATAATAATTATTTTAAACGAATATTTTCTATAAGTGTCAATGGTAATATATCAAATACAATACCTTGTGATAAACATGAAACATTTATGTATGTTTCACCATTAGATAGAATTGATAAATGTTCAATGGATACAAATTCTTCAAATTCTATCCGAATAATGTTTTCTGATCAATGTCATCCATTACCTTATTCAAAATTACTTCGTGCTGATGCTTTAATTGGTTTAATATCTGGTGATACAACAACGGATACTTAAAGTTGAATTTTATTTAACATGCACACACACACGCACACATACAGGGCAAGTTTTTATATTGAAAAACCGTACATAATAAATCATGAAATTATTTTGTTTGTTTTTTTTTTTTGTGTGTTTCTTTTTCATTTATCTACATACATAAAGAAGAAGAAGAAAAAAAACATAACGATTAGATAGATTATATGCATTGCAGCGATGATAGTCAAAAAAAAAAAAAAAGAAAAGTCGAAATTAACAAATAAAGAAAAGAAAAAAAAATCATTCACAAGAATTACAGAGCGGTTGATTAGAATAAGATATAGAATAAACAGACTAATACTGATATGAAAAATTTCAATCTGCTTTGAAGTTATTTGATTTCTTTTTTGTTTTTTTTTTACATAACTTTACATTTACGAAATTTTTTCTTTTTTTTCTTTTCAAGCTTATTATTATTAGCAAGCGGTGTTGCATTAGTTATATGAGCAGCATTTAAATCATATGAATGTTTTTTAGAATGATGTTTTTCATTCACTACCTTTGATATTATTACTTCCGTTCGTTTTATTCGACGAACCAGATCGAAAAAGATCTAAATAAAATATTTTCTATTTTTTCCTTTTTCTTGACTAGATACAAAATAAACACAAAAAAAGAAATGAAGGTAGAAACACAAGGAAAGAACCCAACACCATATTTTACCTTAAAAAGCGCATTTCTGTGCTCAATCAATAGATAGGTATACGTATATATATATATATAGATAGATAAAGAAACCCGAAAAGGAGAACCAAAAAAAAAAAGAAAGAGAAAGAAAACCATTGTGTAACGCGCATGCATATGATTGCCATAAGAAAAATGAAAACAAACAAAATATATCTATAAGAGTACACAACAGTTTTGTTTATCTCGTTGATTATTAGCTGTTTGATCTGTTTGTAAATTATCAAAACCAGTTTTACCACTTGATGATGGTATATGTGTATTTGCCATTTGACCACTATTTTTACCTTTAGTTTTTTTATCTTTATTAACCGGTGTTCGTTTGTTTATTTGACGTACAAGATCAAAAAAAATCTAAATATTTATATTAGGTTCGATGTTTTTTTTTTTGTCTTTTTTTTTGCTTTATAAATTGAAATGAGAGTGTATAGAAAAATAAGTTTTCATATCGCTAAGAAAAATAAACAAACAAAACTAACCTCATTAACATTAATTTTTTGTTTAGCTGATGTTTCAAGAAATGTTGAACCCCAATTACGTGCTAAAGTTTGACCAACTTCTTTTCCAACAACACGTTCATCTTCAAGATCACATTTATTTCCTACGAGAACCATTGGTACCTAAATTAAATATAATTAAATAATCAAGAGAATAAATATTCTTTTTTTTACATCAGTTGTATCTTTGACTTTAAGAATAGTGTCACGTAAATCAACAAGATCATTATATGTTGATTGAGCTGTTATTGAATAAACAAGAACAAAACCTTGACCATTTTTCATATATAAATCACGCATAGCTGTAAATTGTTCCTAGGCAATAGAAAAAAAAATAGAGATAAGCATTTGATTGGTTATGTAATAGATCATAAAGAAGAATCTCTTCAAGTGTTATAACATTTTTTTCGATCGAGATAATATTCATTTATGAGGTTTTCTTTCGTTTCAATACTATAGTAGTGTATGTATATAATACAATCAATTAGAGTAATTACTCATTATTAATAAAAGTTAATTCATTCATTCTGAAATATGTTTAGGAAAGTATGAAAAAGTTTTTCAGTAAATAATGCAAGAGAATCAAACAGAAAAGATACAACATTATTCAAACCATAATTCTTTGTACTAACAGGAGAACTACCGAAATTGTAAATCGCTGTATGAACTCATATTGGTCCAGTATAAAGGCTATTCTTCCTTTTTATTACTATCAGTAACATGTAAACTACTTACTGTGCCAGCAGTATCCAAAATTTCTCTAAAGAAAAAAATTAAATACAATGAAAAAACATAATTGCAAATGAACCTAAACTTACAGCATGCATTGTTGTCCATCGACTTCAACCTGTTTTCGATAACTATCTTCAATCTAAAAATAAAACTGACCATAAACTATTATTTTCAAACTAAAATAAACTAACCGTTGGATCATATTTTTCAACAAATAATCCTTGAACAAATTGTACAGTTAATGCTGATTTACCAACACCACCACTACCAAGTACAACAATTTTATATTCACGCATTTGTTTTGTTTGAAAAATATTCAATGAAAGAAAAAAAACGAAATCAAAATCTGAAAAAGGAAGCATAAAAAAAATTTTTGCTTTTCTTTTCTCTACTTATTCCCTGAAAGAAAACAAATAGTAGCAACACACACACACACACAAAAAAAAACAGATAGAAAATAGAAGATACTAATTTCAATTGCGCATTCAAATTAATTTTAAAATAAAAACAAACAAAATTATTATTTTTTTTTTTATGAAATTTTAGGGTCGAAAATTCCATAATTTAACACTGCCATCGAATGAGCCCGATACGATAAGATAATCATTAAAGGAAAGACATGTAACACCATCTGTATGGTTTTTTAATGTACATAATCGAACACCTGTTCGTATATCCCATACCTAGAATTTAATAAAAAAAAAAAAAAAACGAAATAGTGTTCTAATGTTTTCTTTAATGGGTATTGTTACTAATCAGCCAAAGCGATCTGACGAGGGAACATTCCCAACTGTCATATCGCTTTTGAGTCAAACGTATGGAGATCGTGTAGACCCTAATGATCTATGAATCCTCTGAAAAAAGTTTGTGTCGCTAGCTTCTTACTGCTGAGATATAGCATTTTTACTGTATGTTTAAGAAAAAGTCGTGGTCCTCCTCAGGAACACTAGGAAAAGTGAGTTTTGAGTTTTCATCTGAAACTTTGTCTGTAGACAGGCCTCAATGAGAATAGTTTATTATGACGGTTTCAGATCTTTTTGTTGTTCCTAGTCTGAAATAAGAACATCGGATCTGCTCGTATATATGAGCAATTTTACCATAGCTGTAAATTAGGATAGGAACAACGAAAAGAGCTGAAACTTTCACAATAAAGTATTCTCATTGAGACCTATATTTGTACAAAGTTTCAAATCGAAATTCAGTTTTCCTGAGGGGGACCACGGCTATTTTTTTAAACATACAGTATCTCGGCAGTAATAAGCTATCGGCACGACCTTTTTTCAGAGAATTCATAGATCGTTAGGGTCTACATAATACGCATACGTTCGACTTAAAAGCGATGTCACAGTTGAGAATGCTCTCTCGTGAGAGCTTTTCGGACAAGCAAATACCTCTTAGTATATTTTGAGGTACTACAGTAGTTTCAATCTATACTCAACCTGTTCTTGTCCACATGAACGTTAATTGGCACATTCAGAATAAAGAAGTAAAAATTAGTCTCGACTATATTCGATCGTATGTAATGAAATATTTATCCGACAGAGAAAAGAATAAAATAGTTTAGTAGAACAACAAGAGCTGTTTTCTATGAATCACTCTTATCAATAACAAATAACAAAAGAAAAATTTCGCTAATATAGGATATTATATCTTTTAAATGTCTCTTCTTTTAAAAATTAATCATATTCATATATATATCTAAAATATATAGAACAGGTAACAAAATTATCTCGAATGAGCAATAAATAAAATCATTTTTATAGACGTTACTGACCTAAACAATTGTTTCTAAATGTCATTGAAAAGAATCTGACGCACAACATTTTTTATATTTGCATTAAATGCATATTTCGCATGCAAATAAATATTCATAACAAATACTCAATGAAAATGAGGTTTTTTTTTTGTCTAACGAGAGAGAAATCCTTCAACTGTTCAATCGAGACTATATGAACATAAATGAGCTATGAATACCCTGAAAAACAAGGTTCATTCTTCTGTTAGCTTATTACTGCATTTTTATGGTTTTTCTTTTTTTGTTAAATGAATGCTATGTTAACAAGAATCATATTTGAAACATTTATAAAAAAAAGTATTCTATACATATCAATTTTTCTCTTAACATGTTCATTTATGTTTTAAAATTCATAATGACAAAAAAAAAAATAAGAAGAATAATTTATTTCTTACTTTGATTGTCTTATCATCAGCTCCACTAACAACTCGCCAACTATCAGCTTTTAATGCTCGAATAACACCACGATGACCTTCTTTAGATATCCAATCAATTTTTTGACAACATTCACCTGTAGATAAATGCCAAAAACGTATATCATAATCAAGACTACCCGATACAATTAAATCTTGTTGTTGATCAAAATATAAACATGTTACTGAACCATTATGAGCTGAAAGTGTACGTAAACAAATACCATCTATATAACGCCAAATCTATATATTTAATAATATATTATTTATAAGATTTATGTTTCTAAATAATATACTTTGATTGTTTTATCTGTTGAACCTGAAACAATATAATCCCAATTGAATTGCACACAAAGTACTTTATCTGTATGATCACTATAAGTGAGAATAAAATATAAAAAGAACAAAAGGATCTTTTTTTAACATACATTAATGTTCGTAAACATAATCCATTAGTTAAATTCCATACTTTAACAGAATTATCATGACTACCACTTACACAAATATCATCACGAACCTTAAATTATGATTAAAAAATTTTAATCATAAAATTTTTTTTTTTTAAAATATTTACAACAAGACATCGAACAGTATCTGTATGACCAAGTAATGTTAATTTACATGCACATTTTGACCATGTTTGATTAATAGATATACTCCAAACCTTGAATAAAAACAAAAAAAAATCCTTTTTTTTTTTTGTGTTTCTCTATCAAATTTAATTTACTTTAATACTACGATCATTCGAACCACTAACTAATCGAACTTCATTTATACCATCAACATGTAAACATCTGACACTACGTGAATGACCAACTAATGTAATAATCTCATTTGTTGTATTCATATCCCATCTATTAGAAAAAAAAAGATTTTCTTATGTAAACCTTATTTTTTCGTTTTTATAATAAACTTACACTTTAATTGTACCATCAGTACAACCACTTATAATTGTTTGACTATCAAATTGAACACAAGAAACTCCTTAAAATAAATTTATTATTATATTTATTCTTAATTTTAATAAAAATTTATTTTTACCTTCAATATGACCATGAAATGTTTTAACATCACATCGTCCATTTAACCAACGAGAACGAAGATGATATCGTTCAATAAATATTTGTTTCCACTAATAAATAGAAAATATTTTTTATTTAAATTTTTTATTCATACTTGTGGTTGTTCTTGATCATTTGTATGTGATTCAATTTGTTGTTGATCAAGAAGATTTGATGAAAATGACCATTTTTTTTGTTTTGATAATTTACGCCATAATTCAGGATGTGAAGATAAATAATACCAAAGTTTATTTACAAGTGAACATCGTGCTAATGATACTAGAAAAAAAAACAAATATATATATTTGATTTGAGAAAATATCGAACAAACTTGGATCGAGTAATGATAGAATATAAAAAGATATATCAAAAGGTAATTGTGCCAATGGATCTGAACAATCTGATGGACAATTTCTATGCCAATTATCAGCTGTTAATAATGATAAAAGATGCCATTGAGAACCGGAACATGAACTCTAAAATAGAAAATTTTATATTCATATTAATCAATTTATAAGATCGAATATCAAAAAAGAAATACGATTCTATTTAATAAAAGAGATAAAATTGTTTTTGTTGTACTCTAAAAACTTCTTATCAAATTCATGATTCACTTACAATTAATTCTCGAAGTAATGCTTCTTTTTGTCGATTATCAAGATGATTAAACCATTCTACAACTCTCTATATAAGATAAAAATGAATATTATAATTTTTTTTTGTTTTGTTTTGTTTTCTTACGACAAGTTCAGATGAAAATGAAGATTTTTGAAGTATAATTTCTTGTGATGTTGTATTTAATAATGGTACACGATGATCAGATGATATTAAATCAGGATGAAAATGTACATGAATTTTTTTTTCATCATTTGATGATGATGATGATGGTATTATAGAATAATCATCATCAATACTATGATGACGTTTAAATCGACAATTAATAACATTAGTATTACTGCTCAATGCATTATCCGACTTGCTTAAAGATGCACGCATTAAGATAAACAAGCCGATAAAAGAAGATAAGCAGTTGATAGAACAAAAAGCACAAAGAAATTAATAAATAAATAAACAAATCTATCAGTATTTTACCGATATTTTGTTTTTTTAAGAAATTTTATTATGCATATATAAAATAAAATTTATAGATAAATCTTTATTGATTTATAGATTTTTTTTTTAATATTTAAGATAATATTTTATTTTTTTTGTATTCATCTAACGACATCTAGAATTAAAACGTTTTTTTTTTTGTCGTACATTTCTTCATATAAAAAAAAAGTTCTCATCAACTAAAATGCAACTTATATTTAGTAAGTTTTAAAAAGATTTTTTTGTTTTTTAGAATTTTAATTAAAATATATAGGTGTTTTTGTTTTTGTTAATCTAATCAATATATTCATTGCGCTTGTTTGTCCAATTTATCGATCATATCAAAAAAATTTAGATTTTATAGAAGATTGTCAACGAAATTGTAAATTTCGTTATACATTAGAAAAACGAGATGCATGTTTTGGTATTTATTATAATTATTCAGGATATATATATGTTAAACAATTAGGTATTGGATATAGTGATGAACAATGTTTAATATCAAAACAATGTATACTTGATATTGATATACGAAATTCTCAAGCATATTCATGTTGTTGTTCAACAGATAATTGTACACTTAATTGGCAAAATATATCAAATAAAACAATAACATCATATCATTCAATTTTAATAAATAATACAAGAAAAATTAATGATTTAGTTATAATAGAACAAGATCATATTTCATGGAAATTATTTTTAATAATATTTATTTTAATTATGATTATTATTTTAATTATATTTATATTTAGTCTATGGACATCATTAAGAAATAAATATCCAAAAGATGATAATAAATTATTAACAAGTTCTATAGAAAAATTATTTTTTTCTCTACAAGAAATTAATATTGGTAAAAATAGTATTGTTTATAAAACAATTTTTGATCATGATATTGTTGCTTTGAAAGTTTATAAACAAATGAATATATTAATATGGAAAAATGAAGTAACATTACTTAAATCTATTCAACATGAATCAATTATTAAGTATGTAAAATTTTAACACATATTCTATTGATTAGTATGGTCGCAAAAAAAAAAGAAAGAATTCATAACTACTTACTTCAGCTTTGAATAAATTACAGCCGATAAGCAACAACATCTGTCTGTATTCCTATTGACATTAAGGCATACCCATTCGAATTACATAACATTTCTCTTCTTTCTTCTCCTAAGAAAGAAATGATATCTTATCAATTTATGTCCTTTGATCTACTTTTATTATTAATGAGTTTCTTTTTTTTTAGGATTCTATCTGAAGGTCAATATAGTTCACATTTATATCTGGTATTACCCTTTTATGAAAATGGTACACTTCAATCATATTTACTTACGTCCAATCGTAAATTATCTATTAATCAATGTTTAAGTTTTCTTCGTTCACTTGCTTCAGCAATATCTTATTTACATATCGGACGTAATAGTACACATATGACAATTGTTCATCGTGATATAAAATCATCGAATATACTTATTGATAAAGATCAATTAAATTTATATTTGACAGATTTTGGTGTTGCTGTTACTCTTCCACAGATATTAACGGAAAAAGATTTTGTACAAATTGGTACTATGCGTTATATGGCACCTGAATTACTTGAAGGTGTTATTGCACATACACGTGAAGCTTTATGTAGTGTAGATATGTATGCATTGGCATTAGTAATGTGGGAAATCATAACACAATGTGATATGTATCCAATGACAGGTAATATTTTGAGAACATAAGAAAAATAATTCAAAAAATTTTTTTTTTTTGGTATGTAGTATATCATCTACCATATGAAGAATATAGAACAAATAGTTCGAATGGATCTTCTTTTGCAAGTGAAATATATGATATTGTTGTTGTTCGTCGATTACGACCTACTCTTGTTCGACAAATAAAAGATAATCAACATTCTCTAGTTAGTATTCTGTTTTGTTTTAATATAGTCGAACTATTGTTGTTATATATAGATTATTCATGAACTATGTTCATTAATTGATGCATGTTGGATAACAGATGCTGATATACGTATGAATGCACAAACTCTTACATTCAAACTCAATCAATTGATGTGATTAATAGACAACGAAATCATTGAAATTATGTATTTTTTTTTTCTGTGCTAAACTTTATGAATTTATTGCTATCAGATTGATTCTAGTCAGATTATAGATGTGATATATTTTTGAAATGTTCATTTCTTGTTCAGATATTTTGTTTTGTTCTCTGTTGTTATTCGTTATTATTTAAAAATAACGATAATGTTTAGTGAAAACTTATATGTTATTTGAACCTCTGTCATAATAAACCTCGATTGAAGAAAAGAATAAAGATGAACAATATTTTTTATATATCATTTTTATTTCAATAAATTTGATCGTAGTTCAAATCGAGACTAACAGGAAGAAATTATATTTGAAACAAGCCTTAGCTGGATTTCATGATGACTTCTTTTATATTTTTTTCATTGGACAATACTAAAAACCAACTAAATTTCACACGCATATAATGTCTTTTTTTTTTCTATTTGTAAATTGCATTGTATAATTATCATGACATTTCGCATAGTCCAAGTTGACAATTCACGTCTTTCTGAATTCGATCACATACCAATATCATTTGAAGTTCATTCTATCTATGAAGTTATTAATGACAAAGAACAAATCGTACTTATTGAACAACCTCTTCTTACATCATATGTAAAAGATTACGATCAACTAAACTCAAGTGCATCTCATTCATGGTCCAATATGAATACGACTAACTGGGGAATCTTTCTTGCTCTTGATGAAACTCAAAATGACAAACCTGTAGGTGGAGCTCTTGTAGCTATGCCTGAATGTGCATTATGGGATTTACGTGTTGCACCTGCATATCGACGTTTAGGAATTGGACGAGCTTTATTAAAACATGCTATTCAATGGAGTAAACAACAAGCAGTAACAACATGTATGAGTATTGAAACACAAAATACAAATGTATCTGCTTGTCGATTCTATGCAGCTATGGGAGCTAGACTAGGTGATATTGATAGAAAAGCATATGAAAATGATGAAGTAGTTAAAGATGAAATTCGAATTAATTGGTATATTGATTTCAACTCATAGTTGATTCATGATTTGAAAAAATAAATAATTGATGTTATTAAATACATATATAAAAAGAAAGAATATCTCGACTTAGTTATTATCCAATGCTTACTTTTAATAGAACTGATTGAAAGTCATTTTCAATAGTAGAACAATTCATTAAAATTGTTACTAGTAGAGATTGTTGATAATCTTCGTTGACACTAATTTATAAGAAACTATTCATAGAGATCAATCAATTTCAATTGAGATAAACGATTCTTACATGATCACATTGCATGCATTGAAATCGAAATATTAATTAGCTAGTATAATGAACCTCTTTAAATATTTCAAATGAGAGAGTGAAATGAAAATGAATTCGCTGGTGTATCATCTAAATAGATGTATATGATTCTTAATTATTTTCATTAATTCATTTTGATGGGCTTAATAAACTTATTTCGATTTCGTTTTCAGTGTTAAATGCGAATCATAATTTCAATTCATGCAATTTCTATTGAATGAGGTACTTGCTTTCTCTTGAATAATCATTAGTGGTTGATAGTATTTTTCCATTTTGTTTGTCAGCAATTTTTTTAGACACATTTTAATTCTATTGCCGTAACTTGTGTATTTATGCTAATCATATTTAATTTTGAAAGCGTTTTAGATTACTTTGTTCTTGCTTGGCAATGTTGGAAAAAATTTCTTGATTGCTTGACAAACATTAAAGAAGCATATGAAAAAGAAACATTAAGTGAAAAGAAAAACAAAAAAGTGAAATGTTTTAACTCTATTTATTTAGTAGAGAAAAAGAATATTTGTCTGATTTTAGTTTAATATGTACGCATATATTTGGATTTGACTTACTTCAAATAAGTTATTGTTCAACGGGTGATTTTTTACTTTGTATTGAGAACTAGCCTTCTATGTCAATGGTTTCGTTCAATATTTTTTAAAATATGTGATATATATCTATTTCATGAAGGAAATCCGTAAGCGTCAAATGGTTACTCTTTTCGAGTAATGACTTACTCAACATTTGATTAAGACATCAACCAAAATTTAATGATGACAATGATTTTTTTCCAATTGTAAAAATAGGAGAAAGAGGTGTCTTAAAAAAGAACATGTTTTGAATAAAATAATTACTTTACATGAGTCGAATACATCTTCATTCAATTTTGTGGAACTCACATATATTTTAGAAGAAAATAGTGAGTATAAGTTTTAAGTTCAAGTTTTGGCGGCTCCCCCTCTCCTCCTTCTCGATTAGAAACATTTAGCAACGTAGGTTCCCGTTATAGACACCTTCCTCCCATTACAGATCTCAACAACCACGCACAACAGGCTTCAGATTTATTTATTAATAAAAAAGAAGGCGTTGAACAGTATAAGAATATGAGCTCGACCGTTATACAGTATTTCAACGCTTTCATTAATATTTGAAAAACTATACTATGTATGTTAAAGTTCTTAATAACGAAATTGTCGGCTTCTTTTTTTAGAATTTAAACTTGTATTTTAAAAAATGAAAAATGAAGAATAGTAATAGATTGACCTGTCATAGCAATCATATGATCAACCTGAAAACCATGATTTGATCTTTTTATCAGTTTAAAAAATAAACGATATCACCATTTATGAGCTGATTCAGATATATAGTAGTACGGTAAGATCTGCTGATGCATATATTATAATGCATTATTATGATAGTTTGATTTATGCGATAGTCGATGGTGAAGAAAAATAACAATACCAAAATTAAAAAAAAAACAAAAATGACTAATATCGAGTGCATAACAACAATTATAAATGAAAGCCGGCTCTTTCAAACAAAAAGAAATTTTCTGTTTTCAATGTAGAAATAAATAATAAAGTCTCGCTCTTGTCATCGATTATAAATGAAAACAAGTACAGTATACAAAAGAAAATTTTAGTTTATATATGAGGTCTTAGGATATTAAGGTTTAAGGATATATGTGAGTTCCGTATTTTAGTTCCAAATGAGCTGCGCTAAAAAGCTTTTATTATCTTGGCACACTGAATTCTTCAAACTTGATCAGAGTCTGAGGTCAAGTGTTTGTAAATTTGTCCAAAACTCTTCAGAAACCTTGTTTAATACATGAAATATGATTTCAAAACAGATCCAAGTCAAGATAAAAATAGTTCATCAGGAACTTAAAGTTTATGTTCTATGAATTTTCTTCGAGCAAACAGTATCCTAAAGCAAATTCGTCAACATTGGCAAAATGAAATCATAACAAGTTATCTTTATCAGTCTTTCTATTATATGCTTGGATTCGATTGCTGATTGTCAACAGTTCAATTCGAATGTGTGCGTGACAGAGTGACATCATCTTCAATTTTATCATTATCAAGGTTCAAGGAATCGAGTGTCGATATTATAGAATGAAAGAACATTATAGTGAGCAGCAAATTTTGACATATGACAAAGGGGTGAATATGGGTCTTTGTAAACATTATGTGATACATCTTTAGCATTAATGTGGTACGAGGTCTTTGATTGTAAGCATTGCCGAAAGAAATATTCGGCTAACAAAATAAGCAATGAAATCGGGATTGTTAAGTGATAACACAGCTGTTTGCTTAGACAGATCTGTTAAATCCACCTATTAAAATGCTTTATAGGTAGATAGGATATTGAATTGCAAAAAAAAAATAGTTCAAATGAAGAATTAATATGATCAGATCGCGATAGAATTCTATTCCGAACTCATATTGTCGAAATTAACTGTAAACATTGGAACTTCGGCTAAAATATGAATAGCGTTTAACAAATGAAAGACATTCGACTAAATGAATTTGCACGATGTAGAAAGAAAACGAGATCATTCTAAATATTCCATTCAACTTTAGTCACAAAAATTTTGTTAGAGACACCCTAAGACTATCTGAACAATGCAAATATTCTAGATAGTTCACTCGAAGTTTTTTTTAATTAATATAGTATTATGTGAAGATCGTTATTTAAACGCTAAAATATTAGTAGTATGTAGAAATGAGTAGAAACTATTTTGATTAAAAAGAGTTTTCCAAGGGTTATATTAAACATTCGCCCAAAAAATTTACCAGATTTTTTTATGCTAACAAAACATTGAAAATACAAGATAATAATTAAGTAATTTTATTCGAAAATATTGAAATACTGCTCCTAATGAGATCAACACTTGCTGCTCTATAAGAAACATAGATGCCTCTATTTTCCTTTATTTCACTTTTACTGTTCACAAATTATGATTAAAACATATTCCGATTAGATTAACTGATGACTCAGAATCACACGCAATAGTGAACTATACCCATTAGAAAATGTAGATCTGAATGGCATGGTAATATCTTTAATAGAAATTACTACTAGAGTCCGATGAATTGCACAGTTGACAATTCAGGACGCCAACTGCAGATATATAGACATATGTGTAGATGACAGTATAGGGTGTCAGTGTACTATCAAAGATACGCACCCACACTCACATCAACATGCCATACCCATGTTCACCCACACACCGACACCCAAAACTCGCATCTCCATTTTCAAATCAGTTTACGCTTTTTTCGACTTTCTTGAAAACATAAAAACTAGCTTTAAAGAGTAGGTTCTAAATGCATTATTCGAATGGCATTGTTTCGAGCAGGAATAAAAAGCACTGTCCAACAAATCGTTCACCTTGAAAATTACTTTTTCTCAACTCAGGTTTGACTTCGATCCACATATGATATAGTCATACAGAAAAAAATACCAAGTTTTATAATTCGTTCACGCTATTAAAATCACAATCATCTTCGAAATATAATTTAAAACAGTGTCACACATAGCCGCTTCTCTTCACTTTCATTGTGAAGCAGTACAACAACCATATAAGAGTTCAGAATAAGCAAAATTAACTTATAATGTCAGTTTCATGTGTAATCTAAACATTCCTACGGCCTGAACCACATTTCTCTATTACATTCGAACTAGTTTCCATCGAATCACAACACCAAACATCATATCATGAGACAAACAAATCAACCCATGCCAAAAAAGCATTCATCTATCCACAATTCGAACACCAGAACACTTTTATCTTTCATCTTACAACCATTACACAAAAACAGTACCTAACTATCAATGCTTCCTACGCTTCACTTCTCAACAATCAACGAAACTATCCCACACATATCGAACTCAGACATCATGAAATAACGGAATGCAAAAACGAAACATTTGTTCCAAAATCAGCACCTTTTCGACAACAAAACCCCAACACTACGCTGCCAATTCCGCCACACCACCATTGAAACCTTATTATCAAGCGAGTCATCCACTACTACTTAATAATTTTAATATAACGGAACCATCTCACTCCAGCTTCAAAACTCTAATAACTGCACCAATTAAAAAATTTCCAAATTCCCAAATAGAACTCTTGATACACAAACATCGATTTCTTTTTCTAATTTCATGAAAATGAGATCATTTTGGAATAGATCTCATCAAGATTTCATTCAAAAATGAATGATGATTATCAAAAAAACATGAAATTCTTTTTTTAATTTCATGAAAATGAGATCA